TGCCTCAGCCTCCCAAGTATCTGGGATTATAGGCATGCATCACCATACCTCGTTAATTTTGTATTTTTAGTAGAGACAGGGTTTCTCCATCTTGGTCAGGCTGGTCACCAGCCTCAGGTGATCCACCCGCCTTGGCCTCCCAAAGTGCTGGGATTATAGGCGTGAGCCACCACGCCTGGCTGAAAGATGGAATATTTTTATAAGTGGTTTAGAACAACTCGAAAGCCATCTTGAAAAAAGCAAAGGTGGATCACTAGCCTAGACATAAGTAAAGTCCAAGTGGACCAAAGATGAAATATTGTATCATAAAATAGTATTATATGAAATCATAAGGGGATTTTTTTCAACTGTCTAGAACAGGGTTGACAAACTTTTTTTCTGCAAAGGGCGAGACAGTACAAATTTTAGGCTTTCTAGACCATATAGTCTCTTGCAACTTACTTAGATCTCAAAAGTAGCAGTGGACAATACATAAATAAATAAGTTTGTGTTTCAATAAAATTTATCTACAAAAACAGGCAGTAGGCTGAATTTGGTCCGTGGATCAGTTTGGAGTTCTCAGATACGTTTAATAGAGGTGTTAAGTTCAATGTCTAATCCAGAAGCAAGTAGTAATAGATATAAAATTTTCTTCATGGAAGAAAAGTGCCATTGATTGCAAAGATAAATGAAAACCTGGGGAAATATATATATTTGTGGGAGGGGGAGGGGTATGTGTAGTCATATCACAAAAAGAATTCGTTTTGCTAATATAGAGTTCCTAAAATTCAATGTGAACCAAAAAACAATCAGAAGATACAGAAAAGGAAACTTAGACGTGAAAGTATTTAACATCCGTAATGATAGAAATACAAAGTAAGGCTACAGCTGATAGCAGTTCCCACCTCTCATTGGTAAATTCAGGGGTTTAATAGCCACAAGTGACTTGAGACAGCCTCTGTGGGGATCAATTTATAATAGTGATGTCTACTGCAGTCTTAAATGGAAATAATTCAGCACTTTCATTACGGTGTATTTATTGTACAGATCTATAAGAAAATATTTATTTTTAAAATAGCAAGAAATTCTGGGCCGAGCATAGTGGCTCACGCCTGTAATCCCAGCACTTTGGGAGGCCAAAGCAGGTGGATTGCTTGAGCTCAGGATTTTGAGACCAGCTTGGGCAACATAGTGAGACCCCCATCTCTGCAAGAAAATTTTAAAATTAGCTGGATGTGGTGCTATGCACCGTTGTTCTAGCTTCTCAGGAGGCTGAGGAGGAAGGATCACCTGAGCCTGGGAGGTCGAGACTGTGGTGAGCTGTGATGG